TTGGACGACTGCCCGAACGTAAAAAAGGATTGATGTGTTTCTTGTGTTCCTCTTTAAGAGTAAATTCACTTGACTTAAAACATTAGGTAAATCTACCAAGTTATTTAAAATTTTGTAAACAAATATAATGTCGATAAGGCGGCGTCTATCGCGGAGTGACTGCAAGTGAAAGAAAGCTAGTCTTTTTTCATACTCTCATTTATAGCTAATGTTATTATTTAATCGGCATAGATGTTTGGAGAAATGGCGGTTAATTCGTTCGATTCTGTCAACATGGACAGAATATTGAGGGTTCCAAACAACACTACCATGTTCCAAAATGCTACGGACCAGAGAATTGAAAACTATGATTTTAGGCTTTACATTTTTACAACACTTAGTCGACCGCCTTATGAAACCTAACATGCTAGAAGCTTTATTGACTATTGCATTATAATGAGGTATGAACGATAAATTACTATCTAGTATTACTCCTAAATCCCTAATTTCTTGGACCTGGAGTAGTAGTACTCCGTCGATAGTGTATTTAGAGGGGACTGGTAGTTTCTTTTTAGAGAAAGTAATTTGCGAACATTTTTTGGCATTTAGAACCACTTTGTTATGATCGCACCACCTCTGTATACTACGTACGTCACTTTGCAATAACTCCACATCTTGAGCACTATTTATTACTTTAAAAATTTTCATATCATCCGCATACAATGAAAAATTACTATATTTTTCAAACGAACCAATATCATTTACAAAAAGAGTAAATAGGACAGGACCAAGATGAGAACCTTGTAGAACACCTGATGTGGAAGTGTATGATTGCAATTCTATACCACCAACTGCCACAAACGGAGTTCTATCTGTCAAATATGACGTAAACCATTTTAGTGACTCTCCAATATCATTTAAGTAATCCAACTTTTTCAATAAAACACTATGACTAAGTTTGTCGAAGGCACTAGAAAAATCTGTGTAAATACAGTCAATTTGTTTTCTCTCATCAATTGCATTTGCCAAAAAATTTACATACTCAAAGAGATTAGTATCAGTAAATCTTTTGGCACAGAAACCATGCTGAGCAGTATCTACAAAAACTTTTCAGTTAATGTATTTAAATGTATTTAAAATTTCAAAATGTATTTAAAATAGAAATTTGTCTGTAGTTTGTAACAATATTTGTCTCACCCTTTTTAAATATCGGTATGATACTAGCTTTCTTCCACACTGTCGGAAACGTGCCTAGTTCTAGTGATTTATTGAAAATTAAGTTTAATGGTAACGTTAAAGAAGATAAACAACTTTTAATAAAAACTACAGGAATGCCATCTGGACCACACTCTTTACACATATTAATTTATTATTACAAGTTTTAATTTTGTTTTTAATTTCTTTTTCAGTAAATCTAACATTGCATAACGGTAAGACATTACATATTGTGGGATATTGAGATTCACTTATTATAGTAATATCATTTCTACTGAAAACTGATTTAAAGTGCTCCGCAAATAAATTAGCTATTTCGCTAATTTGTGTGGCTTTTTCACCACTTCAATACATTTCTTATGGTATTGTATATGAGTCTTTCCTTTTGTGTTTAACGAAGTTCCAAAAATGTTTTACATATTTAGATATATTGTTTTCAACATTACTAATATATGCTTTGTATTTATTGCTGATTAGTTTATCATTACGAGTACGAAGCAATTTAAATTTATACTAATCACGTGGGTTACCAAATTTTCTAAATTTTTTCCGAAGTTTATTTTTCTCTTTAATGTCTAATGGTAGGTTTATCAAACCATGTCGGATAATTAGTCTTTAAGATTTTTGTTCGAGGCACGTGAGCTGTAATGATACCATCAATTTTGTTATAAAATGCTGCAACCATGTCATCTATGTTACCACTTACATTTAGCGCTTCTATCCAATCAATGTTATGCATGTGACTATTAATTGCAAAGTAATCTGCCTTAAAAAAGTTTAATTTAGTAGCTGTCTTATTTTTAACAGACTTATATGAAGTATGCATAGCAAAACATATTACAAGTGGAGGTTGTAGAATATCTTTTTTAATTAGGTGATTATCTGCTTCCCGAAGAGTTAAAGCAACATATGAAATAATTATATCCTATATTCTCTTATCACTATTAAGAACATAATTGTATTGATTAAGACAAGCTAGAGACATAAAATCCATTAAAGTAATACCAAGTGAACTATTGCTATCGTTGACGGGGGCCTGCGTATTAGGGATTTTACCGGGAGACCAAGATAAGCAACCGAGATTTAGTCCCTAAAAATCAAAATATCATCGAGTGAGGCAATGGCATCACTCGCCTTACTAAAAAAGCACTGAGCCTCCCTCTTGTCTACCGGAGACGGAAGGTATACCACACATCGACCTAAATTCTGTCGTCGACCACTCTTTTGCAAGGTCATGGATAAGTCTTTATGGTCAGATTCTAGCTGCATCAAACGTTTACTAGCAATACTTTTTTTAATTTCTATGAGGACTCCGCCGCCTCTTAACTTGTAGTAGCTCTTATACAAAGAGAAATTGTAGCGAGATCTACAATCTATGGCTAAATTAATGAGCTCATACCAACGAAGTTATTAACGTCACTAAGGATCACTTCGGGCCTCCTTTAGGTCGATGGATCCTCTCTTTAGGTCGGAGGAAGTGAACCTTTCTTTCGCCACAAATTGTTGCAATCTGGGTTCTCCGGTCTCAAAGTTGAAAAGACTGAACACTAGGTCGACATTTTCTTAAATTTGCAAGTAAAAACCGAGATGAATTATTTATTAGATCCTTTTGACGTCAGTTGGAAGTGACATTGAGGTAGGTCCGGGGAAAAAATAAAAAATTAAATCAACGACTTTGAACGGTCATAGGAAATGAAATGTATAAACTATTTTTACTTTGAATTCGATTTGTCTGCACACATTTTTACCAACGAAACAATACAAAATTCATTTATTCATATAAGTATTTATGTCTTATGACCGTCAATATAAAAAATTGAAGGTAAAATGGAAATTACCAGTACCCAAGGGCATAGACCGGGAGATAAATATTGGCAACTTTCCGACACTGTTTTAATCGCCAAGTTTTGTAAAAGAAAGTGTAAGGATCTGCAACTTGACAAATGTACCGATGGGTGGCAAATCCCAGTCCTGTTTTAAAGGCGCTTGCATGGCGGCCTCCCTTCAAAAGCGATTGCTTTAAAGCCTCGGCAAGTGGCGTCATCATGTAAATACTGGTGAACCTTAAAAAGCATATAACTCAGCCTCCAGGTCCCTTAAACGGGAGATTGCTAAGGCAAAGCACATTTTCAGATTCTGGAAGAAATTGGCCTTCCTCTCTTTGGAGACTCGTGCCTTTGAATCTCTTGCCAAAGCTGTCCAAGAGAATTTCTGTCCTACGTTCCGCCAGTACACAGGGAGGATAACTCGTTGACCCATACCGCTAAGGAAAAAGCCAACCTTTTAGGCTGTCTCTTCGCATCCAACTTGGCTTTGGATGACCAAGGGAAGGCACCATAGACAATATCGCGGTGTGATACTACGATGACGGAAATTGTATTTCAGCAACGTGCTATCCACACCTTTAACCTCCTTGGATTTTCACAAGTCGAGCGGGCCTGATAGAATTCCCCCAATTGTGCTGCGAACTTCTGATTGTGAGTTGACGCGCTTTTACCGGCACTTTTACCTTATCCCGAAGCTTTCCAGCTTTCTCGTTGAAACCATCAAGTTCGTCATCGACGGAGCATTACCTTAAACCAGTGAACGCTGGGATCTCACACGGCTGCGTCCTTTTCCAGACTCTGTTTCATTTGCATATAAATGATATGTTGCAACTTAGCAACGTTAATTGCTATGCGGAATACAGCACTTACTGTTTAAACTTGCCCGGCAGGTATATCTCGGGAAGTCGATCAGTACCGGAACAAGCTTGAGTCCATACTCTGTTACGTGGAGTATTGGACTGGGCTCAACTAAATCTAGTCCAAGTTAACACCAAGAAGACAGTTAAAAACACACCCTTTGTCGCTACTCTGCTCTTCGAAGACGCTCTCAGTTCCCCCGAAAGGATTATAGGAAAAGCATTCTATTGTCACCGTATAAGGTTCCTGCTACATTTTGTAATTCGAGGTCTTTTTTTTAAATTAAATGTAATATTTATCTTTGTAAACCTATAATTTTTAGAGCAGTGTTGGCCCAGTGGCTTCAGCGTGCGACTCTTATCCCTGAGGTCTTAGGTTCGATCCCCGGCTGTGCACCAATGGACTTTCAATGAGCGCATTTAACAATCGCTCGAACGGTGAAGGAAAACATTGTGAGGAAACCGACATGTCTTAGACCCAAAAAGTCGACGGCGTGTCAGGCACAGGAGGTTGATCACCTACTTGCCTATTAGATTGAAAAATGATCATGAAACAGATTCAGAAATCTGAGGCCCAGACCTAAAGTGGTTGTAGCGCCACTGATTTATTTATTTTTAAACTTATAATTTATAGATATTAATATGTTTGTGCTCGCCGTCCTCACCTATTATCAAAGCGACACATAGGTTCTAATGTGAATTAGTGTGAACTACTACTAATGTGAACTGGTTTCAACTGGTTTATTTTGTTTCTTTCTTATGTGTGTCCATGTTTGTTCGTCTATAAATAAATAAATAAAATCACACGCATTTACATTTATTTATTTATTAACACTTCGTTACATACAGAAACATAATACAGTTGACATAATTAAATGAAATGGAGGGCAACTGGCGGCCTTATCGCATTCGAGCGGTCTCTTCCAGCCAATCATTACTGTATAGTCAGGACAAATTCGGAATTCGGACTTCTGATTCATGACATCGGTATGAAGCGATTGTCTAAAGCTCTTATTTAATGAATAAGTTTATTAAAAAAATTGTTTAAAATAATTTTATTTCATAAGTAATTACAAATTTAAAACACAGAAACAATGAGGTAACATTACGATTATTTAGCTTATCATTTTCTATCACAAACGGTGCCTCGAATCAAATCCTTGACTTGGGACCTGTAAGAAAATAACATATATTTATATAACTCGAAGTGCTATTCGTAAATAATAATCTAGTTGATGAATAAGTTAAAATTATAAAATATTATGTTCATAACTCATCTTTTTTTAATTAATTTTAAAGTTTAAGGGCGTGTGCGTGTCTAAGTGTGATTAGAAAAATAATTCGATACTATTCGAAATGGTATTAGTTTGAAACTAGGATGAGCATTGGAGGGGAAACTTAAAATAAATCAATCAACTAAAATAAAGGTCGAAATTTTTATAACAATCCGAAAAGTTCCATATTTAGTGTAAAATAATCAAATTTTAAGTTTTCGACTGACAAATGACATTCCTTTTAACGTTTAGGGACCATATGTTGTTCCTATATAGCACACATTTATTTATTTATTTATTACAGAAATACATACATTATCCTTACAGACTATGCCGATACGATAATGTTGAGAAACATTAAATGAAATATAATAAAGTACATATATAATATTTAACACATAATATACACAATATCGCTACTGTGAATTCACTCTGCGAACATATAAATATGTTGATAATGTCGGAGACACCGACATTAGGCTCAACGTCAGATTGCGCTGTTTCCAAAATGCGAAGAAGAGAGCCTCCAAGGACTCCTCCAACTTTTGCTGTCTCCAGCCTTTCGCCCGCAGCCGCAATTTCATTTGCCCACCGACTCTGTGTTTACACTAAGACGTAATTAACTTACCTATGTATAAAATAATTGGGCTCTTTCGTATCCAACGTGGAGAAAACGAATCGGGGTATCTGATTCACTAATACCCACACCTCGTCTCCGATCACCTTCAAATCTTAAAGACAAATTTTCATATTATTATTAGATATTAGTAACATTTTTAGTTCGGGTATATAATTGAATCTTGAGCAGTGTTGGCCTCGTGGCTTCAGCGTGTCTCATCCCTGAGGTCGGAGGTTCGATCTCCGACTGTGCAGCAATGGACTTTCTTTCTATGTGCGCATCTAACATTCGCTTAAATGGTGAAGGAAAACATAGTGAGAAAACCGGCTTGCCTTAGACCCAAACAGTCGACGGCGTGAATCAGACAGGAGGCTACTACTACTTGCCTATTAGATTAACAAATGATCATGAAACATATACAGAAATCTGAGGCCCAGACCTAAAAAGGTTGTAGTTTAGTTGTCGTTGTAGTAGGATTTTTTTGCACACTTGCTCGTACGTAGGAAAACATCATGATTTGACCCAAACGGCGTGTGTCAGATACAGAAACCTGATCACCTTACCTATTAGAAAATCAAATGACCACGAAACGGATACAAATTAAGGCAAGAGCTATAAGGTTGTTGCGCTACTGGTTTGTTTATACAATTTAAATTAACTAGAACCTAATAATTTACATGACTGGGGAAATTGAAACATATACAAACCCAAATAGGATATACCAAAATGATTTTCCATTATATTAGTCAAGTTTAGTCATATTAGTTGACATGAAAAATATTGTTCGTAAAACTAAGTCTGTGTTTATAAGTATTACTCAGTTTTAAAAAAAGCCCTCATAATATATCTCTTTTCATCACAGCGTCAATATAATTTGGCAGAAAGAGACGATAGATTACTTTCGTTAAAAAAGTGAAATCAGACTGTAGTTTTTATGAAACAGGGAGGTTAATATAGAAATTAATTATATAAGTATATAATATACTAAATGGTTGGCATTGGCACTTCAAAATACAATGATTTCGATATCTTAAACGACAAATTACTGTAGTTACAATATTCATATCGCTGATATCGTAAACTTAATCTATGGGGCCCTCAGAGCAACGGAGATATAAGAAAATCGTTTTACCAGAAATATACACTAATTTCTCGTGATCTTGAACCGCAATGGCCACATTTTCGGGCGCCATCTTCTTTTCCACATTCCAACACAAGATGGCGTCATTCGCAACGTTCGCATAGAAAATTGTTTTCGACTTCTCGTGGTAGGCGTGACTTCCGCTTTGCGTTTTAGGACCGCGGTTGCCTAACAGCTGAAATAGTTTTAGCATGAATTAAAAAAAAATATAGAGTATGGATCACTTTAAAAAAAGTACATCTATTACCTGTGGCAAAGGTCCCTAGTTAATATAGTATTAGGAAACATAAAAGATAAGAACGTGTAGGTACTTTAGACTTTTAAAATCTACCGAGGTTAGGTTAGCAACAAGCCCGTTCGCACGAAGTCTAGAAATAAAAGTGAGTCAACGCCGGTGTTGCCACGCTTTATATAGGTTTCTGCTACAAAATGGCGTTAGTCCGCTAACACGGCCTCTCCTGACACCCTGACGTCCTCGTCAGGATTTGATGTTCCAGCGTCTATACTGTCATCTCTGTGGGTAGAATAGAACGTTAGAACATTACAGTTCTGGGAAGGTATTGCGTCGTCTATTTGGTCAGCAGCTGAACATATTTACTTGGTTTAATACAAACAATCAAAGTAATGAAAGATAGAAAGGAACTTTAAAGTATCAGACTCCAAGGAATAAGTGAAAGATTATTCATAACCCTTACAAGATTTGAAACAAACTATCACTTTCATGTGTAAAGGACTTGTGTAAACAATTACAAGTTTAGTGTCACCATAAGGTATAAAGGTGTACTTATTTCTCAAGAAGATCGTGAGTTTGGGGCTGGTTACCCTGTCCATTGATCTTTTTACCATTCATAAAGGAAGATCGTGACTTTGGGGCTGGTTAGGGTTGGGTGTTAAATACCACCGCACTTTTTTGACGATACTAATTATCTAGGAGTGTCCGGGGGACCTTCATTGGAACACCTCCAAGTGAGTTTTGCTCCGGAAACGCGTCTAAATATTTTTATAAAAAATTTAAAGTTTTGTGTAATGTATTAAAATTTGTAAACAATCCGCCATTTTCTACTTTTCTATTGGTTATAAGTGATGTGACGTTCACTTAAAAAAATCGTGTTTTTAATTTATCGATTGTTAATAATCGTTTTATTTATTTATCGATTATTTCCTTATTTTTGAAATTTAAAGTAATAGAATAATCAACATTGAAATTAACCTAATTTCGTGTTGATAAGATTATAGGGTTCCGAATTTTTTTGAAATTATCGATACCTACTCGTCTGTATTTTCTAATTAGTACTTGTATTTCATTGTTTGCAACTTTCTATATTATTTAATTTTTACTAGAATAAAGTGTTTACTTTAATATCCAAAAAGTACCCAAAACCGAATCAGAGCACCCCACTATCCACGTGGTCTTGTCTGTCTTACCCCTAGAGTGTATATAAATAATCGGAGGCGCGGAGGAAGAGGTTGCGGAAGCTTGAATAAAATGCCTGTGCTTTGGTACGCAAGGGTGGAGGGGCTGCATTTCCCGTAGCGCCGGAGCTGTCCACAAAAACAAATATTATTTAGATTGGTTAGGTTAGAGTTAGTATATGAATATTTGGTCGCCGAAGGCGACCAGGACGCCGAGAAGCCGAGGCTTGAATAAACAATTACTATTTAGATCGGAGCTGTCCACAAAAACAAATATTATTTAGATTGGTTAGGTTAGAGTTAGTATATGAATATTTGGTCGCCGAATTTTCAATTATTTTTAATATTAAAATCGAATACAAAAATCGATTTTCACTTTTAAAAAAATCGATTATTTTTCACATCCCTATTAATTTTATAAACTTAATCGGCCATTTTGAATGTGGTTTATGCTAGACTAGCGGTAATTAGTTTTACAGTGCAAAGTTTACTTTATAAATCTTTATAAAATTTTTGACGCGTTTCCGGAGCAAAACTCACTTGGAGGTGTTCCAATGAAGGTCCTCCGAGACTCCTAAATAATTAGTATCGTCAAAAAAGTGCGATGGTATTCAAAACTGTTACCGCTGGTTACCCTGTCCATTGATCTTTTTACCATTCATACAGGAAGAACATGAGTTTGGGGCTAGTTACCCTGTCCATTGATCTTTTTACCATTAATACAGGAAGATCGTAAGTTTGGGGCTGGTTACCCTGTCCATTGATCTTGTTACCATTTATACAGGAAGATCGTGAGTTTGGGGCTGGTTACCCTGTCCATTGATATTTTTACAATTTATACAGGAAGATCGTAAGTTTGGGGCTGGTTACCCTGTCCATTGATCTTGTTACCATTTATACAGGAAGATCGTGAGTTTGGGGCTGGTTACCCTGTCCATTGATCTTTTTACAATTTATACAGGAAGATCGTGAGTTTGGGACTGGTTACCCTGTCCATTGATCTTTTTACAATTTATACAGGAAGATCGTGAGTTTGGGACTGGTTACCCTGTCCATTGATCTTTCAAAAAGCAAATATTACAGAATTAGATAGCTTCAGACTTAACACAAATAAAGACAACTCAGTATTTGCAATACACCGTCGTATCGACAGTGGCTCCTAGTGCTCTCATAAGCGACAATTTTTTAAAACAGAGACCCATACACTTGTATGTTCTCAAAGTGGTCTAAACACATTAGCACCACAAAAATTTAAAACAGAAACCCATACCTTTGCATGTTCTTAATAACAAAGACCAGATCATCCTTCTGGAATTTACAAGGGGGGGTCTACGACCCACATTAACGACAGTGTCCTGATTGATTTGACTGTTCTTCAACCGTTCGGCCGTCCTCTGTCAAAGCATCTCTCGTCTACCTTGCCGACTAGACGATCCCAAATTTAATGCGACACTCTTGCACTCTCATGACAAACACAAACAACACTTTAAAACAAAGAGCACTTTTAAAATGTTAATCACTCGTGACTTCGTACATTACGGACACAAAGAGAAGGAAAATTTAAACCACAAAGATTACTCAAAACAAAACAAAAGAGAAGTGAGCGTAAAGTTCAAATCCCACTTCTGATATTAGGAAACATAAAAGATAAGAACGTGTAGGTATTTTAGACTTTTAAAATCTACCGAGGTTAGGTTAGCAACAAGCCCGTTCGCACGAAGTCTAGAAATAAAAAGTGAGTCAACGCCGGTGTTGCCACGCTTTATATAGGTTTCTGCTACAAAATGGCGTTAGTCCGCTAACAATAGTATAAAAGAAAGTCGATTTCCGGCTTCTTAAAGCCTACGCTACGAAAAATCTATTTATTGGCTTTCTAAGAGTCTGTATGTTGACTTCAGGTTTACGAAAGCGATCGCGGCAAGGTACGGTAGCGTAAATAAAAGATGGTAAAAATATAACTAAATATGTATACCCAAAATTGCAGAGTAAACACAACTTGACAGAAAGAGACTAAACAGAGAGAATTAGGGAATTATTAATTCAATCAGAAAGTGTTGTTTAAAAAAAAAATCCTATCATCCATGTTTTATATAAAGTCTATAGTAACTTTTTTTAATGTTCAAATTAATATTTGAATAAAAGCATTGTCCGGTTATCAGTACTTACCTTATTATTTCCTTGAAACGAATTGTTTTTCAAGTACCCCGTGTCTATCATGTATTCATTTGTGGACATCAAGGGATGATAGTACGCCATTCTTCTTCCATTCAAATCCACCAATGCCAAACTGAATATTCCATCAGGCCAACTTATTGTATGGCCTGAAATTAGTTTTAATTAAATTTATACAACAGAAGAAAAAAATCAACATTTTAAACATCTCTGAGAAACTGTGGACTACTTAACTTATTGGCTAAATAATCAGATTTCTGTTATCAGTTTCGTAGTCACTTGTTTTATTTTAAGGCAAGTAGGTGATCAGCCTGACACACGCCGCAGACTTTTTGGGTCTAAGGCATGGCAATTTCCTCACGATGTTTCCTTCACGGCCGAGTGTTAAAAGCACACATAGAAAGTTCCATTGATGTCGGGATTTGAACCTACGACCTTGGGGATGAAAGTCACACGCTGAAGCTACCTGACCAACTAAATGCTAGATTTTTGGACTATATACAGTATGTTTTAATAAAACACTTTAAATATCACAAGGAGGTTAAGGGCGGTCTTTTCGATAAGAGACTTCTTCCAGACTATCCAGAAATAAGCAGTTAACAGAATTAACAGTTACAGCAGCATCAACAAGTCCAAACATGACACAAACTAAAACCAATGTGTAGTTATCAAATCAAAATCATTTACTCATATAGGAAAGACAATGTATACTTATGAACGTCAAAAAGGAATACACATTTAATGCTTCCAATTTTACATTTACCAGTTCCCAAATCGTCATATAATAGGCATGGAGGGCGTGCATAAACCTAACGCTTATAATAAGTATATTTATTTACTTCATCATCTAATATATAAAATTCTCGTGTCACAGTTTTCGTAACTCCTCCAAAACGGCTCGACCGATTCTCATGAAATTTTGTGTGCATATAGGGTATGTCTGAGAATCGGACAACATCTATTTTTCATCCCCCTAAATGTTAAGGGTAGTCCACCCCTAAATATGTTTTGTTATTTTTAGATATTTTTTTCTGTTTTTATTTTTTTATGATACAGCATTAAAAAATACATACACACCCCTAACACCGCACCTCTCTACGATCAACCCCTATTTTTTTATTATAAATGATATACATATATGGCAAAACGACGTTTGCCCGGTCAGCTAGTATCATAATATAGTATAGGTACTCAACCGGACACGGCCGGCAAAAGAGAGTCCAAACAAAATGTTTTTAATTCCGATCAAACTTTTCTTTTGATATATTTTATATGTTTTTTAAATACTAAAAGAATCTACTTGGTTTGACTAAATCATTGATTTAAAATCTCGACTGAAAAAAATTGTTCTTATAATTTGGGGCCAGACCTCTAAATCCGCCCTGTATATGATGCTTTATGAACAGTATAAATTATGATAAATTTAAATTATTTAATTCAAAAGTAAAAATATTACACATCCAATTTTAATAGTATTTTTTTTATTATTGTTAAGCAAATAGTAAATATCAGATGTAATATAGATAATTAATAAGTTTACATAGATAAAAATCCTAATTGCCTAAGTGCTACCAGCTAATAAAAAATAAACTTAGTATTAAAATTACCTGCCACTGTAAAATTTAAGGCTGTCTTATCAAACACAAAAGATGGGTCTTCGATCCTCCAAGTGGTTTTAGCGCTCAGGGAAAACACTATAATACCATTCGTAGCTAAATCCGTTATATATGCGAATGCCTCATTACATTTCGATTTGTTTACGTCCACAGTTATTGAGGTGAGACCTGAAATTTGATTTACCCCTATATAGCTCGTAAGGGTTGGCTGATACCACGGATATCCACTTGCTACTGACATATCTTGCTTCATCCAATTACATTCACCCTGCATGCCGGTTTTGGGTAGGAAACGCGATCTCGAGACGAGATTCCTTCGAGATCTCGTGGGATTACGAATTAAAAGCTCGCGACATCTCGGGTAGTTTTCGAAGAACAATTGTTTAAATCGAACAATTAAACAATTGAAAACTTCTAAGATGTGTTTTTGAGTTTAATTAAAAGACGAGATTATTTTAAAGAAGACTATTTATTAGTTACAAATATTATTAAACAAATATTGTTTTTTCATTTCGAAACATGTTAATTTTATTAATCTAATACTTAAGCGTTCCAAGTGGTAAATAAAGAGTTATTTCGAGAATTAATTGTTTCCTCCTATCCTAGAAATCATACACCATCTATTTTCATCCCCTAAATGATAAAGGTAAGTGTAATTTTTTATTTTTATTTTATGTACAAAATTTTTTGTTTTTATTTTTTTATGATACAATATACAAAATACATACAACACTTAATTTTCACCCCTCTACGATCAACCCCTATTTTATATTATAGTAGATAGTTATTTTTATTGAACTAAAAAATGTGTCCTAGAAATAATATACATGGCAAAACAACGTTTGCCGGGTCAGCTAGTAATATACTCGTATATGTTAACGTAAAATTGTAAACACCGTTAGATTGTAATCTATCTCGCGAGATTATAAACTGTCGAAAGATTGTGAACCTCAGCGCACAGGGCCCCCCAGGGCATATTCCGTTCAACCAATCAGCGCGCGAGGTGCGATCCGTTTCACAATTTGACGGTTTCACTTCGATAGATTACAATCTACCGAATAATAATAAGTTAAATTGTAAGCAGTTCGTTGAGGTTAACAATCTTTCGACAGTTTACAATCTCGCGAGATAGATTACAATCTAACGGTGTTTACAATTTTACGGTGACATATATAATGAAAGAAACTCAAATGTGTTGCTGAAATATGTATTTTAAGAAACAACCTCTTACCTCCTGAAGTCCTTTCGTTGAATAAGTCACTGTCCTTTAGTTCATGTTTTAATATCTGTTTATCAGTTTTCAAATCAAATATCACAATCGACGGTTTCTGGACCTGCTGCCTTTCACCTGGAAACAAAGAAATTTAATGCTATCAGCATTAAATTTACTTTTAATGCTAGCAGCATTTCCTTGCTGCAATTGAGCGTGGAAAGCTCAGGGGTCACCAGTACTATCTACCAGGCGCCAACTTAAATATTTAATTAGCGCCTGTGCACTTGAACCTTACCAAGAGTCTCTAATCCAAAGGGAACAAAAAGTTGGCGGAAAGACTCTAGAAAGAAAATATTTATTATTTTTCACCTGCTCTGCAGCAGCGCCAGCTTCTTTGCATATCTGAAGGTGAGATAGGACGGGGCTAACGTATCAACACAAGTAGCATCCCATACCAAAGCCCTATCCAACATGGGATCAAAGATATCCCATCCGCCCGCTTGCCATAGTCTCTTGCGATGCCCACCAAAATGGCTGGAATATTGACGAAAGCACGAGAGCGGCATATGATGTCGATGAGCGCGGCGTGACGAGAAAAACGGCCTGCATCTACCGGCAATGCAGGCTATGGTGGCCAAAGCTACTGACTACAAAGCAATCCTAAGCGAAGGCTAATTCGAAGTGATTCAGGGTCAAATGGGTGGCAGTGTTTAGCGAAGGATAAGCTTTTTTTTTGTTTTGTATCTGCTTTATGGCAATCTGCTTTCCAGCAATAAGCCACTTGGGATAAGCATTAAGCCGGTTTCTTTTTAACGAAATCTGAGGCCCAAGGAGATCCTTGTTGAACTTCTTAAGAGATTTCGTAAGTTTGAAAGTAATTTTGATTTTAAAAGCCTTTGTCAACTAGGTCTGAATTAAAAGCATCTTTGCCGTCAACTTTCAACGACAAATTATAACAGTACCTGTTCCCGGGGCTCTCATCCTGGGTACTTTAGTAATTAGTAGTCGAACCTAGTTTTTGGGTTAAAATTTTAGATAAATAAGTTACCAGGAACTTCGAGAAGTCCAGTATCCACCATCCAGAGTCGTTGACATACGTCAATTCTTGGTCTATACACGGAGACCAGCTTAGTACCAGCTGCATATGGATGTAGTGATGGTGATTTGTCCCCAAGAAGCACATAGTTCAATGTTGATGGGATGCCTATAAAAATATATAATCTCTTTAAAAATGCAATATCTTTAAATCTCAGCCCTACCTGGTATTTGAAGTCGGTATAGGTCGGTTATCGAAAGCTGGCGCGTTCACAGTACTCACAGTAATGCAATTTCACTATACAGTGTGTTTAAAAATATGACATTTTTGCCAAGCTATATATTTTAGTCTACTCTGGTTTTAGTAAGGTTGGGTGGGTTGTAAAATAAATAAAAATGCGTCAAATTCATATAAATATTATGTGCATACGACGGTGGATCCAAAAGTTCCAAGCCCGACCAAGAACGTAAAGAGTAGTTTGTGTAAATAATTTTTCATTTTTCGACATAAGCTCCATCTAGCTCAACACACTTCACTTTTACTTCACTAACAATTCTTTCAATACTCCTCTTAGAAACCCCAGTCGCATCTGATGTCAAATTAAAAATAACATTTTTTCATTAAACTGCTTAAAATTATTAAAAACATTGTGCATTTCACGAGATTGTCCTGGTAATGTTTGAAAAAAGATCAACATAAACAGTAGCAAAAGCGAAACAATAACTGTCACTTTTATACATATAAGCTTGACCGAGCGCGAGAGAGACGGACAGTATTTTCATGATGTATTTGTGATTATATTTCAGTTTGAAATCACGCCTCATGCTTATTCACAGACACTACACAAGCACAAAGTGTAAATGTTTGAAGCCGCCAGCTTTAAATAACATACCAATACATCATGAGCTACTAGCACCACTGTATATATAATATGAGTTTAAATTATTACCATCAGCATTGAGCAATGTTGTCTTAATGGCTTCAGCGTGCGACTCTCATCCCTGAGGTCGTAGCTTCAATCTGTGCACCAATGGAGTTTCATTCTATGTGCGCATTTAACATTCGCTCGAACAGTGAAGGAAAACATCGTGAGGAAACCGGCTTGCCTAAGACCCAAAAAGTCGAGTGCGTGTGTCAGGCACAGGAGGCTAATCACCTATTTGCCTATTTGATTGACAAATGATCATGAAACAGATACAGCAATCTGAGGCCCAGAATTAAAAAGGTTGTAGCAAGCAACAGTTATATAATTTGCAAATTAAATGACATATATAATTTTTTTGTAGATTCACGAACAATTACGGCTAAACGGCCGTATTCAATTAGTGTAAAACAACAAACTTATCAGTATATGAGAGGTCAGTGATATAAGAGGATTTTCCCGCTTACACTCTTCAAAAAATCATAACATGCTTGCCGCATGATACATATAAAAGTTTTAATGCCTAATATTGTTTATCAAAGGTTACATCTATATTTTTAAGATATAAAAATACATCAAAGTTGATATTCACATTCCACTCACGCCTGGCGTTAAATTCTTTTGTCTATGCACCCACAGATAATGATGATAACAGGTGTCTCAAAAGAAAGTTTACATTACAATTCAGAGCGTTATGTGGAAATGTCAGACGACTTCTTGGTACCTGAACTTCAAAACTTTAATGGCTATAACCAAAGAACATGGTTGCAGCAGGACGGAGCAACGTCACACGTCCAATACGTCTCTGCCACGAGTTCGTGAAATTTTCTCAGGCAAATTGATCTCCAGGAGAGGTGACATAAATTGGCCTCCACGCAGTTCTAATTTAACCCCTATGGATTTTTTCTTATGGGGTATCTTAAATCTAAAGTCTACGCCAATAAGCCGACTTCTCTGGCGCAATTGAAAGAAAATATTCGTCACGAAATGGCAGCCATCTGTCCACCTGCCGAACCGTCGTAAGTAATTTTATTGTTCGATTAAACGAGTGCCGTGAACGCGAGGGTCTACGTTTGGACTGTATTATTTTTAAGAAATAAATTCCCAAAATGTGTAATTTTTGATACACGACATACTTTATTTTTATTCGATCAACTAAATATGAAATTTCTGTTGAGACACCCTGTATAATCGATTAGTGTTATAGATTCACTCTTGCTTCAAAATACCTTTACCTTTTTTTTTTCTAGAACAGGGAGCAAACGGGCAGGAGGCTCACCTGATGTTAAGTGATACCGCCGCCCATGGACACCCTCAATGCCAGAGAGCACGCGAGTGCGTTGCCGGCCTTTCAAGAATTGGTAATTCCAATGTATGAAAATTTATAATATAATCTAATACATACCGTGTCTTCGTCGCGGAACGGTGACAAACACACGATGGCCATCGTATTCAAATCCTATAGGTACGTTGTTGTATTGTAAAAAGAATTTGTCCCTTTCCTCCAGTTCGTCGTCAAAATAAACGCCGTCTGGTCTCCTTTCGTAATTTTCATTTTTCCTATCTGAATTAAAGAAAAGTTATATCTTTATCTTTAATAAGAATACATTTGCCGACAATGTCCAATGTTGATATATTATATGTCAAACAGGAATCATCGAAATTGGTTTAGGTTGCTTTAGGTAGAGAAGTTTTAAAATGTGTTCGGTAGTTTTGTTTTAAAGCATTTTAACTTAAAATTGACGCCTGTAACATTATTATAGCAAATTATGTTCATATAAGCGGATATAATTGTTATAATCCACTCATTCATAGCCAATCAAAATAGATTTAATAACCTTCTACAAATCAAAAAGATCTGTTAAATAGTAAAAAATGTAATTATGTCTTATTTAAAAAAAAACAAGTTTATAAATATTTAGAAATGAAAATCACATACGTCAGTGATAAATCGCATTATTAAATTAAAACAAAATAGAAAAAAACAAGATTACTTACAAAAAACACCGTTAATGTCATAATTCAGTTGTTTCCACGAAAACACTTCATTTAATTTATGTGATAACACATAATTAAAACACAAATAAAACCATAACGCGAGATGTGTCATCTTCGGTCAACCTTAGACATTCAACTCTGATAACTGGTTTATGATTATAAATATATTTACAACATATGTATCAACATACAACATATGTTTTTAAACACCTTTGTTGGTACGTTGATATTAGCTGTAGTCAACGTCAACCATTCACGTCAATAACAAATTTTCATCACAAATATGCGTAGTCTGTGCATCTTAATTCATATTTATACTTCTTAATGAGTAAAACCATTGAAATCAGCCGCAGGATTTATGGGGTTTTGGGGGTGGAGGATAGGGGGGGTTTATCTACTGCTACCCCCTTGTACCATCCCCAACATGCGGAACCCCATGGTTATGGAGATATTCATGGTTTTAGTTTTGAGGTTAGAATAGCGCTATTTAGTTATTTACAATGGTTAGTGGGAAGAGGTCTGGCTCTGTGACATCTCCGGCGCTGCGGGAAGACCACTCCCTCCGGGTCTCCGGATTTTTATATACACTCTAGGGGTAGGACAGACAAGAGCACGTGGATAGTGGGGTGCTCTGATTCGGTTTTGGGCATTTTTCGAATATAAATAATTATATGAACAAATCTTATATCGTAAAACGATCTCGACTGCAAGGGCAACAAACGAACCTAAAACTTAACTAATATAAAGAATCGTCTTAACATTTGCTTGGAAATAATGGTAATAATGGTACTCGCGTACTCAGGATAGCAACGGAATGACGCATCAAACGCATAACAAGACGCTCGCTATATGACGTTTCGTGAAATGTTACGTTTCGTTCCGTTTCAAATAAAAGTAATAAAATTCGTAAAATAAATATTATAAACAACATAAAATAACATAACATTATATAACATTAAAATTATTGTACTTTGATAAAATAGGAATTGGTTTTACAACAATATTTCGCTACAATATTGGCATTTCTTCTTACGTAAAATAAAAGTTAAGATGATTATCTATAAAGTATTTGACATATGGGGGCCATACTTCGAATAATTGCACTTTTTCTGACTTTTTCATATTATGGTAGTGACATGACAATTTTAAAGAAAACAATTCAAAATAAAACACTTTAGTTAATATTTACGAACAATTTATTTTCATGGCAATTTATGGTTTTGCTTACAGTTGTAAATGTATATTTATTACCAAGTATTTATTCTTAAAAGTTTAACGCCACTTAATATACCGTATCTGTATTATTGGCTATTTTAGTTTGTAAACCCTTTATAAGGAAATAAAATATTAAAATTAGAATAATCATTGTATTTTATTAACATCTACATAAATATACAATTTTATCAAATAATGGACGTTCTGTGCCTGTTTTTTTAGACTTAATAAATTTATTACATTTTATTTTGTTGTTCAATGCGTAACATACCCTGATTAGCATATAAATAATTTAATCCTTAGTTATTAATAAATTCGTAAAATTGAAAATTTCCAATTTCGTTATTCCGAAGCACCATTTCTCTTTCTTCTTGGTAACGCCTTATTTTCTGTAAGAATAATGCAATTCAAATATAATAGGTAAAATTCAATAAAAATATCTACTTTTAATGTTGTATTATTGATTATACCAATAGTTTTCGTACCACATAATTTTAAGTTAATTTGTATTCAATCGATGACGTTATAATTATTGGAATTGGCACTATACAATCTACTATAATAATGAAAGAAGATAAAAACTTACTAGCCACATATCAGAGTCCCAGTTCCTAAAAGCATTTATAAACTGTGGCGGCTCCATGCCTTGTTTGACAGGCACAACGTCTTGTATAGAATTGCCTATTTCACCGATAAACGCCTGCAAAAGAACTTCAAATAAGAATTGTAACGACAGTGAGGTTATGTCAAATGTCACATGCAAAACTAAAAGACATGGGTACAACTTTCAAAAATTTTGGTTTTAAGATAATGAGACGAATGTCATTTTCATTTTTAAGTGTAATATCAATTATTAATTTTGATAAAAAGTACAATGATTAAAAAGTTTTTATATTTAATAATATGTAAATTAGAGATTTTTTATTACTTATTGACTTTTGAATTTAACTTTAATATCAAGCTTTACTTTTGATAAAAACTAAATTAATTAAAATTTGTAAGTCGATGAAACCAAAAAGAGACAGTAACAAGAGAACGTGGGATAAAATGAGATAGGAATCATTTTACAGTGTTCATATTTAGCCTATTTAATACATTTTTTTTTCATGAAACCACCCATTGTAGTTGCAGCATGCTGCATACCCATTGATCTTCAATTATTCCGTAAGAGTAATTTATTTATTTATTTACAATTATTTTTATTTACTTTATATAATTATATATATTTATTTACCTTATACAAAAACATACATATAAAAAAGCAGGTTACATAAGTTATTAGGCAACGGGCGGCCTTATCGATTTCCAGGCAACCCTGGTAAATAGTTATTTGATTAATTTTTCATAAAAAATATTACCTTTGCAATATTCGTGATTAATTTTCTTTTATACAAATCAGCTTCTTTCCCAATCCAGATGTAAACATCGTTCGCCATTTGCAGAACAAAAACTTCCGTGTCTAATAAAGCCTAAAGAGCATACAAACATTAATTAATTGTAATAAAATCTTGCTTATTATTAGATTTATGACCTATCCATTCTATCCTTCTTTTTCAGCTAAACTAATAAAAATATCAATAAGGAATATCATTCTTGCTTCGTGTCTCTACATTAATTATAAAAAGATAAAGTTTGTGAGTTTGTTGAGGGTAATCTCTGGATCCATTGATTGGAGTTATTCTTCCTATAGTTAGCCGTATAGCCATTACTTGTGAGATAGATAATTATTATATTAATAGTACAGGTAACAAAACCTATCATATCAGTTGTTCCTAAGTTTATGTCACATTTATTTAAGCCTAGAACTGTATTATTTTAGATGCTTGTATACGTTGTTTTATTAAGACATTACAATAAGTAATTAAGTTAGCATGCATAACTTCAAATTATTCCCCTTATAATGGTTAATTTTTATTTACTGGCAATACTAAGATCGATGACAGCGACGCTCTTACCGTCCAAAAAAAGTATGTGGCACTGTAGACAATGTTGTAATATTAACACTATAGTACGTATATGCAAAAAAAACTTACTCCTTGGTTGTATTCTGGTATTTTTTCAAAACTTATAGAATTGTGGTTGACTATGTTCACTTCATATAAATTGTTCTTGGCGTTTTCGTTACCTAAACAAACAAACCCAGTGGTCTATTATTTCCACTTAAACAATAATACTTTATGTATAAATTTTTGAATTGCTTTTTTAACGACATCTTAATTATTCTCTCTCTTTAGAATAAAATAATGTCTATAGGATCAAAGTAGGATTTAAAACTGTGTTCTTTTAAACTTCTTCCTTCTTGTAAACTTATTTATAAAGCGTTGAATTTATTATCTATGGAATTGGCCCCAATATAACAACTAACTAACTAGTAACTAGCCATGCTCTATATAATATTGTCTCCCAGTTAGGTGGAATAAAAAAATGAAACGCATGCATTCATTATATTTTTTTATTTAAATTACAAAATTGAGTATTAGATGCAAAGCCCATACGCATTTTACAATAAACGTGCAATACAGGTATCAGATGTCGTATTATATACAGATTTTTCAGAATATAATACGTTACAGAAATATTAAAATAATTTGTACGCCCCTTTATTAGAACATATGACGTCATCGACATCAGGCGCGTTCGCGGGTTTTTTTTACTTTAATTGATGCGCCTTTATACCAAAACTTATAGAGTCTACAGAGTTCAGACGTAGCTCAGACTAAGAGTGAGATTCAGAAATAAGAAGACGTAGCACTAGCGACTACCACGAGGGCTTGAGACAAAATTACTTAGCGGCAGGCGTCACCCAGTGGCAAACGAATTTGTATGGGCACGTGACCAAAGCATGAGCTAATGTATTTCATTTCTTTGGCGGTAGTGAGTCACGCCTGTCGTAAATTAAATTTGTCTCTCTATACGTCAAAAATGTCATCTCGTTCAAATCCAATTCTTTTTTGACATAGTAGTGCTCTCAACTCTTTGAAATTTACCCACAGATTAATAACTAGATCAAGCTAAGTATAACAAAACATGCTTTAATATTGCGCAGTGTCACTGATCTCTATCCATAAATATACACTAAAATATCGAGTTTAAAAGTCGTGCTTTTTACAGACCGACTGATCGCACTAAACGTGAATGCGACATTCCAGTATCACGCCAAGTGGTGAAGTATTGTTTGAAAATAGCTGGTTCCGTGCCTTGGGGAATTTTTACCACTTGTACCTGAGAAAAGCAGAAATATGTTTAAACTATCATGTTATATTTATTATTATATACTAAAAGGCTAGCCGGCTGAACTTAGAACCAAAAAGTCGGCGCTTCCTTTTTAGGCCTAGGCCTAAAAAGGAAGCGCCACTGATTTATTATTTATAGCAGGGGAGTGTCAAATCTCCCCTTTCCTAATGTACTATTTTTGCTTAAACATCGATCTGGTGGGATTGGCTTTTCCGCCGGGCCCGGGTGAAAACCACTCCGGAAATATCCTCATGATATTTTATCTGACCTGCCCTGCGATTCTGTAACTCACTTTTCGAACTCACACAGCGGTTTTCGCATCGGCGGTCGCTCTGAAATCAGTCGTGAAGCGGTCATTTTATGATTTGGCATTCTGAAAAGGTGGGAGCTTGTAGTTTATTGTTTATTAAACACCGCTGTGTGAGTTCGAAAAGTGAGTTACAGAATCGCAGGGCAGGCTTCACACGACTGGACTTTATTTATGAAATACCTAGTAATAATATAGAATTCTTAGGGTGAAAATGTATGAAATCAGTCTGATTTATAGATTTTTGATAAATTATAATTATAAATTGAATAAATAGTACCTAATATCATTTTCAATTAAACTTCGCAACTTATTCAATTTATTACTCGTAAGTGTTAGTTATGCAAAGTATAGATTATATAATTGTTAATTTGGCAATAAACGCAGAACTTAAAAAAAAACAATTATGTGACACGGGTGGCGTTATAATGCGCTAATAACGAATCGCTGAAGGGAGTCGCTTCATTGTGATTGGTCAGCGTCTTGACCAATCACAAAGCGACCAGATTGTTCGATTTTTTAAATATTTGACTATAGGTTTATTCTAAGTCCTACTTACCCATGACGGATAGTTCTTCGAAGCCAATAATTGCTGAGCTTTTGTCATAACTTCTGTTTTTTCCTGAAAATACAATCTACATGAAAAAAATACCTTAGAACCTTAGACTCTATGAACGCCTAAAGTTCCAATGCAATAATTATTTACATTTCGAAGGCATTAAAAGCTTCTATAATTTTTAATAATTGATTGGTAGGCGGAAGAAAATGCAGGATATATTTTGATACAATTCTTTAAATTCAGATATTAATTAAAATAAAAAGTCTCCGGGTTTTTCTAAATGAGATAGCCATTCTGTTTTTACGAACGTCAATTAGTACCTATAACAGAGCAGCTGGCGTCTGGGAGCCTGGTTAAAAATGGAAGTTCTGTAATACTATGAAATGATGTTCAGAAAGAATCTATGATTTAATTTAAAAAATTGTTCTCGGCCTTTGGGAGGGTTGTGCGGTACCGGGCGAGTGCTTAAACCGTACATGGAGGACACGGTCGAATTTCTAAAGACAAGCACTAATTATAAAAAAATCCTATACTTGACGCTTGAATGCACAAATCGTGCCAGAGCCATTAAAAAAAAGAAAAAAGAATCTATGGCCAAGAGGGAAAGTTCTTATGAATTAGATTAAACAATTACCTTAGGTGAAGCCTGCTTTCCCAGCCAGACGTAAATACTGCCGCTAACTGTGTCCAATATGTATGTCTCCTGTTAATAAAAAATTTATTAGTATGAATTTACAAAATCATTAAAAAAATTGCCAGAAATTGTGAACTTGTCATGGACATAATTCGTCGAAATGTATGTAATGTAAAGTTTAGTTTAGTCTATTAAAGAAAATTATCCCAAACGAAATTAGAGAATTATCACTGAATAAATTAAAAACTCTCGTTAAACGCAAATTAATCAATAAAGCTTTTTATAAATTTGACGAATATTTAAATGATCCTAATTCTTGGGATTGATTCAGTTCAAACAATTGTATGACTCAAATCATATGAGTCGCTCCGCTCTACGCCCTTGACTTACGAACTGGTAGTAAATGTAAATTTAGAATTAATTTAACATCTTTTCTGTTGTCGTTCACATATATAAATATAAAGTTATTTTGAGTTTGAGTTTAAGTTTAATCTAAAAATTCTATGATAATGGCGCTGATCTCGCGATATTCGTCAGAATTATGCAATACTATTTGCCCATTTGCCTGAAGAACGTTATTTTTATATAGAAAATGGATGTTCTTGATAATACCTGGGGTTTTAGTTGTGCCTGTGTGTATGGCTTCTGTAAAGCTTTGACTTTGACAGAGCCCGTGCTGTCAGACACTTCCGAGAGCGTCGCTACGTTTTCTTCGTTCTTTTCGAAAGCCTGGAAATTAGAAAACAATTTAAATAGAGTATAATAACTTTAATATTTAACATTATTATTTAATTATGTTAATATTGTTTTCCGTTTAAAAAATGATTTTAATGGAACAAGGCGCAACCGGTTCCTAGCTTTGGACACAGTCCAATGCCTAACAGGCTTACAAGTGTGTTGCGGGCGCTTAAAAATAAAATAAATCAGTGGCGCTACAACCTCTTTAGGTCTTGGCCTCAGATTTCTGAATCTGTTTCATGATCATTTTTAAATCTAATAGGCAAGTAGGTGATCAGCCTCTGACTTTTTGGGTCTAAGACATGTCAGTTTCCTCACGATGTTTTCCTTCACCGTTCGAGCGAATGTTAAATGCGCACATAGCAAGAAAGTCCATTGGTGTACAGCCGGGGATCGAACCTACGACCTCACATATGAGAATCGCGCGCTAAAGCCACTAGGCCAACACTGCTCTTTACGTTACGTTGCGGGCGCTTAGGGGTGTATTTTCTTAAAGGCTTTTAAGTGGTATCAGTCGGGAAATACCGAGCTGGGTATATTAAATTATTTAACGTTTTAAAATGTTACCTGATCGTCGCCACCAGCGCTTTCCTCGGGCACGAGGTCCTTACTGCCGGATCCGAGGGTTGTAAAAAACTTTTGAACGTCCACATCACTTGAGTATTTGTCTAAGAGGAGAATTTAATTATTGTTTTATGTAAATGACAATAAATTTTGAAGAGGTCACAAAAAAATCTCTAAACGAAAGTGCAGGCCGGAACTGCTTTACTTTTAAATTCGTCGATATTTTAAACCTCAACCTTTTTTGCATGTCCTTAACTCACCAATAATGTCAACTTTTCCTCTTCCGTGGTGATCCTCGTCCCTGATCTGGTTGGCCATGGATATAGCCTTCAGCTTCTCCACATTTTTGGCTTTATCACCGACGAATACCAATATATCATTGTCTTTCTCCAGAATGAAGCAGTCGCCCTTGTTCATGGACGAGAATAAGGGGTCTACCTGAAGAATATCGTATAATCTATGTAAAATTTAATTGCACCGATAAATATTATGTGTTTATTATGACACAATTTGTATAAAGTTTATAAACACTAATATAAATAATATAGAAACAGTAGTGAGAGCTTTCAATATACTAAAAATATTTTCAAATTAGTCGATATATCCTATAATATATATGGGAACATGATAATCTAGAAGTAAGTATTAAGTAAGTTTTTGAAGTTAAATACTTCTTTAGGCGCGTTATGAAAAATTGATGAGAGTGAAATTTCACGATGCGCACGCACCGTGACACAAAATTAACAGAATGAAGTTGCCCACGGAAGATGCTACGGCATTGGACATAATTTAAAAACAACATTCGAATAATAATAGAATTTATGTTACACTTAATGTAAGAGAATAATAATAAATATTTATTTATTTAATTTTTCAAATGCAAACTGAACTTTATTTACTATAATGACTCCTTTTCCAGTCTTTGATTATTTAATTGTAATTAATTATTTGCATGCAATCAAAAACAATTTTTAATAATGCCAAAGAAGTATAACTTCTTACGCGCGTACATAAGTACACGCACCCTTTTTTTATACTTAATACTGGTTTCCCAAGCTTCGGACGGCTGGAAATTTATTTTTAAGAAAATAACCGTTTTTACACATAATTTACATCAGGCTATTTAAGAGTAATTTAAAAACCATTTCAGATAATTTATTAGTGAATATAGAACCTACAAATTCTTATTTTTAATAGTATAATTTGAATTTTTAATCAACAATCATTATTTCAATATAACGCTTTCTAGACAAGATGGCGCCGTACCAGTCCGCAACGTTCTTTCTTTGTAAACAAATTACATAATATGTTGGTTTCTGCCTGAGAAGGAGTTCAATACATTTTAATTAAAATAAAACTTACAATTTAATTATTAAGTGTGGCAGTTCGATACTGCCATATCTGTATTCCAAGAAGGTAATTTATGCTAAAGTGTCACGGTCTTCATTACATCGAAGCACAACACGTTAATAATCGTCAAGTTTTCAAGTGTTCATAATCATTATGCGATTTGTGTTAAATGACACATATACACATTACACAGCCTACCATAGCCACACATTACCTTTAGACAGGCAAAGTATTTTTTTTTGTTTTTTTTTTTTGACAATTCACACCAATTGACCTAGTCCCATGTTAAGCTGGTGAAGCTTGTGTTATGGGTACTAGGCAACGGATATACATACATATTATAGATAGATAGACATATAAATACATATTTAAACACCAAAGACCTAAGCACAACACCAAATGCTCATCACATCGATGTTTGTCTCAGCCGGGGATTGAACCCGGGACCCTAACTATAAATCTGTATTTTGAATGATTTACTCTATAACACTTTTTAAAACCATGTTATACTATATATGTATATCTCAAAAACTTTATGTTTCGTACAGTGAAACAGGATACTCTAATCACTAATGGATTTAAAATGAGCATGAGTATATGATGAGCAGTGTTAGTCTAGTGGCTTTAGTGTGTGACTCTCATCCCTATGGTCGTAAGTTCGATCCACAGTCGGGACCAATGGACTTTCTTTCTATGTGCGCATTTAACATTCGCTCGAACGGTGAAGGAAATATTCATGGGGAAACCGGCTTGCTAGACCCAAAAAGTCAACGGCGTGCGTCAGGCACAGAAGGCTGATCACCTACTTGCCTATTAGATTACCAAATGATCATGAAACAGATACAGAAATCTGAGCCGCAGACCTGAAAAGGTTGTAGCATTGATTTATCTTTTTAATGGATTTAAAATGTTCGCAAACGGCCCTTTAATGTGTTTAATTGATACAATTTTCTTAATAATATAATAGAATGATCGTAATATACCTGCCGTACGCGAACATTTCTTTTTCCTTTGGCTTGATACATTTTCTTTTCCGATCCAGGATTGGTGACTACGTGGGTAAAGCCTGATGGGTTACCGCCATCCACGTAACGTATTCCTGTAAATATTAATAAAATCTGTTAATATAGACAAATACAGGATGTTTGGCGCATGGAGGTCCATGAAAGTGGATAGAGGTGGATTTTGTTAGGGGTTTGAGCGGCTCATGCAGTAGTTTTCCCCGATATTTCATATGTCCTAAGTGTCAGGTTTGTTTGTTGAAAATACCCGAAATCTTGCCTTTAAAACGTCATAACTTTTGATTTGATGTTGTGTTACCACGAAATAAGTTGTGCTTGTATTTCTCAATGTATTCTTATTCAAAGAAAATCTTTCCAAGATACAAATCATATATTCCATGAGTCGGGTTGTCTCTCTCCCTAAATAATGGCGAGGGGGCCGGCTGGCCATGCGTCATACTCGTGAACGGGTGCTACTTGTGGTGACTGGTCGGACTTAAATTCGTGTATTTCGACTATGTATGTGATGTGATGTTCCCACGAAAATGTAAGTGTGTGCTCCTATTTCACCATGCTTACTGCTGATAGAGGACAAACCTTTGTTTTTTTTAATATTATTAATTAACTATGTATTAATTACTTCAGATGTCATGTGAAACATGGTGTAATGGTTGCACCTCCTTACAAACATTGAGTAAAACAAAAAACTGGGCGTTTAAAAAGAGTGGCGGAGAGTTTATTGCCAGTTCTTCTCTTCCGTTCTACGCCCTTGATTTGAGAACTGGCAGTAAATGTAAGATTAAAAGCATTTAATATGTATTTCTTTATTGACGTTCATAAGTGTACCTACATTGTATATAAGAATAAATGATTTTGATTTTATAAATAATATCATATATATAATAATTGTGATAATATCGTCTCAGGAGTAATCCTCAAATCTGCACATACCAGTTGGGAAATATCCCTTGAACTGCTGACTCTCCTGACCCATGGGTTCTCTGTGCTGCACAGCCTTCCCGTCGAACTTGTCATCCAAACCGACAGTCAAGATGGCCGCCGCGCCAGATTCGTCCTGAGTCGCCTGGCTCCCGATCCAGTAGTGTATATCCCATGACAAATTGTTTTTCTTATCTGCTGTAGTCTGTTATAAACATATAACGCTTCTTTTAACATAATAATTAATAATAATAATTAAGCCTCATTTATTCCTTGAAAAATTTACAAAAAGTTACAAAATATACACACATAAAATCCATACATATATATTATATTTAAAGGTTTAGTATTTATAAAGGTTCATTCGTTACCTATTTTATAAATAATAAATAAGTTTAATTGTCATGAAAATAGACTAAAGTTTAGTTTAGTCTATTAAAGAAAATTATCCCAAATGAAATTAGAGAATTATCACTGAATAAATTCAAAACTCTCGTTAAAAGTTAATAAATCAATAAAGCTTTTTATAAACTTGACGAATATTTAAATAATCCTCGAGATTGATTTGCTCCAGTTCAAACAATTTGTATGACTCAAAACTTGGCGATTAAAAAGAGTGGCGGAGTTGCCAGTTCTTGTCTTGCGAACTGGTAGTAAATGTAAATTTAGAATCAATTGAACATTTTTTCTTTTGACGTTCATAAGTGTACTTGGTTACCTATATGAATAAAGTTATTTTGAGTTTGAAAGGTTTTTAGTACGTTTATAATAATATTAAACGCCTTATAATATAATTCTTTAACAAGATCCTTATCCTGTATATGATTGTATTAAGATTCAACATTGTTAATACTTTGTTGTACGACGAAACGGCTTTTATTATTATATTGTTAGTTAATAAATAAGATGCGTTACATCAGCACATTTATCTTTAAATGACGTGAGATTTCCTCAAAACGTCGTTTTTTTTAACAATTGCTAAAATTCTAGATCGCTTATATTTTAAATAGTATTATATAATGTAATTCATTAATAATAAGTTATATAGTATAATAAAGAGCAGTGTTGGCGTTATGGTTTCAGCGTGCAACTTTCATTCCTGAAGTCATAGGTTCCATCCTAAGCTGTGCACCAATAGACTATCAGTCTAAGTGCGCATGTAACATTCGCTCGAACGGTGAAGGAAAACATCATGAGGAAACCGACTTGCCTTCGAGCCAAAAAGCCGACGGCGTGTGTCAGGAGGCTGATCACCTACTTGCTTATTAGATTGACAAATAATCAAGAAACAGATACAGAAATCTGAATATAAATAGTTAATACCTTTGTTTTTGTTTTCGAAAGCGGTATACAGCCTGAAGAGGTCTAGTATGTAAAAGTCAGTATATATATTGTAACACATTACCTTCAAGATGATGTATGAATCGCCTTTGTAGAACTTTCCGAAATCATTCTGAGAGACGACAGTCGGCTCGAAGTTCTGAAAATGATAAGGCATATATAGCGGATAATCTGCGGCTACAAATCACTACGATGGCGTTAAATCGTGCTTAACAAAGTTATATCGCCAAGTATATATTCAAGTACTTAATATACCTTAGCAAATGTCTGGTACCTGGACTCGTCTTTACGGTTCCGTATGATCCAATCAACGACAAATTAAAAGCTGCCGCACGTCAAAGCAAAATCAAAATCAGATTAGGGTAAAAAACCGCCTTCACAGGAGAAGGTGTGGACCTTGCTTTGCTCACTCTAGTGAGCTTCCGTCCTGCCCTTCAGGCGATTGACTACCCCGCGACGGCAAAAGCCGAGGTCCGAGTCTCGCAGGAGACGCCCTTGCGCTAGTCGCTTTAAAAAGTCCATTCCAGCCTAGTTACGCCCACTAAAAAACCCTGGGTTGAGCTTAATAACAGCGAGATTCCAAACCAAAAAAGTAGCCACTGTCTATGGGCCAGTCAGTGGTTAAGCTGGTCAAGAATCCTCTTTTAAGGTTGGAGGAAGATCAGCACTTTCCTTTCTCCATACACTTAATAATCTCAATCATTTTGAAATCGTAGTGAGGCTAATAGCAACAGAACGTTTAGTCACACAGTGACTCGCGCGTTGCCAAAAATTATGCTTGTAATGTTTAATTTTACAATTTAAATTACTCTGATGAATATTTATATTATTTATAGGAAACATTTTTTTAGTTCAATAAAAGTAACTATCTACTGTAATAAAAATAGGGGTTGATTGTAGAGGGGTGACAATTAAGGGTTGGACGTATTTTTGTATGCTGTATCATAAAAAAATAAAACCCAAAAGTTTTGCCTTAAAATAAAACTTTAGGGGTGGGACCACCCTTAACATTTAGGGGGATGAAAAATAGATGTTGTCCGATTCGCAGACTTACTGAATATGCATAAAAAATTTCATAAGAATCGGTCGAGCTGTTTCGGAGGAGTACGGAAACGAACATTGTGATATGAGAATTTTATATATTAGATATATATTATATATAATAAACCTATTATATGGCATAACATTCTTCAGGACACACACATTTTTATAAGCGGAATACATACATTGATTCTCCACACTTCAACACCAGCCCGTTGGCCTGCATTGGCAAAAGCTGGGTGTACTCTGGCTTTTTCTCTTGCATCCTGAAATCACGTGTAATTTAAAATTAAACGCATAGAACGAGTAGTATAAGAGATTTTACTCCAATTTTAATTTTGTTGCGCCGTAGGGTTTATGTGCACATGCCCTAATTAAAAATTTAAGATGGTGCCTGGTAGATAGGACCGGTGACCCCATAGGTTCCCTCTTTCAACGAATAAGTATCGCAATACAGCGAGGAAATGCCAGCATTAAAGGTACACTGCCACAGGGATCAAACTTTTTAAATTTTCTATTTTTAATTCGAAAGGAGATGGTAGGTATTATAAGAAGGGAAGGGATATATAAAAAAGTGGGTTAAACCGGTTCAGAGAGGAGTTTGATTGAAACTTCTATATATCCATTAATGCTTGCACGACAAAACTTTTATTAATTTTATAGTATTTTTATACGTTTATTAGTGTTTACGCTGTGATGACAGAATATAACTTTTTTTTACTATAAGCGTACGTAATCGCACAGAAAAGAACAAAAGAATATCATCACAGAGATAAAACTCCGTCCGGAACTTCATGTAATAAAAGCTGCATCAAAAAAGTCAAGGCCAGAAGGCCTCCACAGACACGCAAACACTTAAGTGGTCTTTGCAACGTAATTTTTCTTACTCATACACGTAATTAACATTGTGTTCATTCTGTGACTCACGTTAGTTTGCTGGCGAAACAATTATTTCTCACAATTGGAAAAACATTGCTACTAAGCAATTAGCCTTATTTACGTTAATTAGAGAAGTTCAAAACAACGAGCCTTAGTAAACAGATGTAATATGTGTGAAACAAAATATCAATTATTATAATCATTTTGTTCACCAACGGAATAATCCCAACACAGTTACATGAATCTATCGAATTCTTAGATTTCCTGAAATCCCATCAAAAACAACAAACAGCAGTTATAAAATACACTAAGTATAGCCCGTACATTTACAACCTATAAAATAAACTGTGTTCAATTTTGAACTTGTTTTTTAATGTAACAGGAAGCAAACGGGCAGGAGGCTCATCTAATGTTAAGTGATACCGCCGCCCATGGGCACTCATATTGGCTCGCAAATGCGTTGCGGCCCTGGACACTTTAGTATAAGTTACTTAGAATTAAGATATAATCTAGACTTGATCTTAGACTTGAAGAACAAAACGTGCGAGCGATTTTAATGAAAATAGAGACCTCCGGCGACAACCAACATAATTATAATATTTAATTACTCCATTTACATTGAAAAACACAAAACAGGAGACAAATAAAATAAATGAAGACGTTAGAAAAATTAAGAATGAATTTACGGGCGGTGTTACTGCTAAAAGCAGTTTCTTCCAGTACTCCTAGTTAACAATCTCACGGAACTTACTTTCTCTGTAATAGGAGGCAAACGGGCAGGAGGCTCACCTGATGTTATGTGATACCGCCGCCCATGGACACTCAAACTACCTGAATTCTCTTTTCTTGAAGGACCCTAATAGCCATATTAAATTACCTTGTCATTAAGCGAAGTGATTTGCGGTGAAATAGGCACCGACTGCTGTCTGTTTGTCACTCTCGCGGATGCGCAGACGCACAACGCCAGGACCGCTACGTAGATGAGCTTCATACTAAAACAATTTATTTCATAAATTACACGTTCTGCCCTATCCTTACTTTTATTGTCCTTATTTATATTGCTTATTATAGCTGCGCAGGACATGATTGATATAATATATATTATATAGTTTGAATGAATACCTGCAGCTGAGTTTCATCATCTGACGTGGAGGCAGAATACAAAATTCCACCTGTATCACCTCATAGACCGTTAAGTTAAGAAGTATTTCCGAAACAATTCGACTTAGGGTCGTTCAAGAAAAAGCGAACCAATTCTTAAAAGCCTGGCAACGCATTTACGAGCCTTTTGGCAATTCTAGCTTCGGTCCGTCTTTTTATATAACAACTAGCAAACCGGCCAAGCGTTGCTGTGGCTAAGGTTTTAGTTATATTACATAGTAGTAACCTATTCAAGGGAAACAGTAGGAGAACACCAGTCATGGGGACCACCATGCTTTTTTGGTGGTAATGCCATTAAATTGTAGCTTATGTGAAACGTTGGCACTTTCAACACAGCGCCATCTGTTAGAATTGTGACTATCAAATAATAAACAAATATTTTGCAATAAAATAATATTGCGGGTATACATTGAGATGTAAGCTATCCTATCTTTTAAGTTAGATCAAACTGCACACGGTGTGAAAATTTCATTCAAATCGGTTCGGTAGTTTAGGAGTCCATAGCGGACAAACAATGTGACACGTAATTTATATATATTAAGATTATATAAAAAAAAACATCAAATTTATTTATTAATTATACCCAATTAATTCGCTGTGCGTCTCGAAACGTCTTATACTTGGCATATAATGAATAAAATGTATAAATTTAATAAATAAACTAGCTGGCCCGACATCGTTTTATCATATACAGATGTTACTGTACTCAGATATTAAGACAAAATGGAGGTCGTTCGGTAAAACTACATATTTCAGCAACACATTTTATTACTATGTTTCTCTTCACCGTACAGTGTTAATGTTAATGTTAAACGCGCATATAAACAGAAATATCGAACCTACGACCTCAGAGATGAGAGTCGCTAAAGCCACTAGGCCAATACTGATCTAGCTTGTTGGTAAACAAGGAAAACATCTACTTTAATCTTAATAATTATAATTCCGTTCACAGCCGTCTAAGGCTGTGAATGGAGTTACTGCTTACTTCCGTCCGTAATTTTATAACTAGCTGTCTTTTAAAGCTATTGTTTTACTTAGCCTACCTTTGAGTAGCTACATACCAACATATGGAACATTTGGCTAGCCTATAGAGACTATTTGCTTTTCCGGAATAAAAACCTAAGTGCTAAATAAAACGAAACTATTCCAAATTTTTTCTCTATAAAAATAATCCAGCCTCAAGGAACATTAAAAAAAATCGAATTGATCCATCCTTTTGCGAGATTTGCGCATATACATATTTTGCGAATCATTTATATTAAGATATACAGTAATATGTGTAATAATACGTATATATATATTATCTAATATATCACGTTACACGTAGATCACGTAGATTGCTTTGGTAAATTTGACTCATCTTTTCTTTTAATAATCTGTGATTTAATGATTTATCACGTACCATAAAATGCCTATAATTCTATTTTATAGTTTCCGCGAGTCATTATGAGCATAGACAAAATAGAAACATATAAATTACCTATTTTTTAAATTTGTGTATTATGTGTAAATGACATTGAAACAAATCGAATGTATGACCCCGGGGTCAGTTTGTTATCAGTGATGATTCAGTGGTTAAAGTTACAAACATTTTATTTATATGTAATGTAAAGCAAAATTTATTTCTAATTAATGTATTTCTAATACATATATATTTTTATTATTTACATCAAATTATATACATAATTTTCATTTATTTATTTACACTTCGTAAACATACATAAGAAGGAAAACAAGGAAACCTACTGGGGTAAAGGTACAACCTGTTTAGGTCTGGGCCTCAGATTTCTGAATCAGATTTATGATCATTTCAATATAATAGGCAAGTAGGTGATCAGCCTCCAGTGCCTGACGCACGCCTTTGACTTTTTGTTTGTAAGGCAAGCCGGTTTCCTCACGATGTTTTCCTTTACCGTTCGAGCGAATGTTAAATGCGCATATAGAAAGAAAGTCCATTATTGCACAGCCGGGGATTGAACCTACGACCTCAGAGATGAGAGACGCACCTTGAAGCCACTAGGCTAACACTGCTCTATAACTAAATTAATACTCCAAGGAAATATGAAAAAAGAAATACCTACTGATCGTAGGGAAAAATTTAGAAAAAAGAATTAGAAATAGTAATGCCTACCGATGTGCAAGAAATGTATAAATTAACATAATAAGGAAACCAAATAAAATATCAGCTAAATGCTACTTTTCTTATGCAAAGAAATAAACAAACAAAACAACGAACTTTAAATATTCCCTCTAATAAAATGATTAAGTACCATAAATTCCATCAAAAAATATCAAGTTTAATAACTCTTATGATTCACGACTGCCAAAACACTTTAAAGTTTTTGAATCATTTATAAGTCTAAAAATAATGATAGTACTTACTTGGGAAGCTGCGAATACACCTCAAAAAGAGAAACTTAATAATTACGTTACATAAACGTCTTTATATAATGCCCTCGCGATATAAACTGTTTTACGCAGTCGATTCTATGAACACGCTTGATTATCAGCCAGGGCCGGAGTGAAAGGCTTAATGGCTACGAATTGATTCTTGATGTTATCATATTAAAATAATTTTATTATTATTAAGTTCTTAACCTACATAGTAATAATTAAAAATTGATAAATTAAATGAAATTTAAAAAATTAAATAATAGATCTGTGACTCTAGAGCTGGTGCTTTCCTCGCTCAACTAATAAGTATAGCAATACAGCGAGGAAATGCTGCCAGACCCACTGCCACAGGGACCAAACTTTTTAAATTTGTTTAAATTTTATTAATATTAATTTTTAATTATTTTTATTATTACTATGTAGGTTAAGAAAATTGTAAATACTGTATATTTGATTGTTATGATTACTAATATTTCAGACAAATAAATAATAGTCTAAATTTTAGACTTCATTAGACAAAGGTTCTTTTGACTTCATTTAATTGCATTTAACACAATTTAAGTACTTATTTGCACCATTAATACCTTCGCGTGTATGTATTATTTGTAAACAAAATGTATTACCATAAAAGATACAGTGAGTAGATCCTTAAAGATAGTAATAGCATTTGTGGCTGACTTGTTTTAGAACTTTTTAAGTGGAAATTTCCGTGACACAGATTGGCTCGCAGCTGCCAGCTCCAGCGCCAGCTCTCAATAAGATAAAAATAATTCCGTTTTTTTATTATGTTTGGCGATTAAATTTAAAACGGCTTTACAATTACACATTATGAACCCAGTAGGATAAAATTACAACATTAAAATGCTGTCCGATGGCACCGCAAAAAAAGCTTATGCGTCTATCTGGTACCCGCATAAAATTCTCGTAAAATCTAAACATTTTTATTATTTTTTGTAAAACTTATATTCACTGTAATTGTCAAAGATAGATTGTGTGTAGAACTTATACTGTAGAAATGGCTTTATATATGATGTGGTGTACTTTAACAAATAAGTTCTCATAAAAATAAAATTGTAATTTTGTTGATCCGAAATCTTTAAACAGTACCAGTACGTCCCTGTTTTGGTCAAATGTCAAACAAACAAAGATAGCCATAATCGGAACTAGGCAGCCTTGCGTACGGCTCGAGATTGCTCTTATTGTAAGGAAAACAGATTGAACTATATCACTGCTATGAATAAATACAAAATTCCGTATTATTTAACCGTTTTCTAAAGAAGTCTGTTTTATCGTAAACACAATTTGGTAAAGAATAATAATACATTTTAATAAGATAATAATTTATTATAACTGGTAATTATATATTATTTATTGATAATAAAATCTGTTCAATTGGCATTACAGTACTAGTAACAGACAAGATAGAATCTTGTCAAATATCATCCACTTAAAATAGAACCCACTCGTTTGTGAAATACCCTAACCTGTTTGTTATGGTTATATAGGCGCAACAGTAATAGTATTTAAAACACAAATTCATTCAACAATTAAATGTCTCTATAGTCATCACCGTTCTCCAAAAACAGGTTGTTTATACTAGGTACTTATTTTATTACCGGCTACTGACTGAAATATAAAAATCCCTCAAATAAGGTGTACAGATACCGGAAAACATCTTGACTCGGAGGCAGAAGCCTAGAAGGCCCCAGAAGGCAAGAGAAGCGATTTTTAGGTATCACTTCAGCGGGTGGTGGTGCGCGGCGGCCGGAGTGTGACGTGTCGATCGCGTGATTGGTAAATCAGTTGACGTTTGTGTCCCGCGCTGCGCAAACTTTCCCCCACTCCCTTTTAATCCTCAAGAAGTTTACCGGTATCTGTACCATCTATCAAAATGACTGCAAAAGCTAAAGCATGCAAATGCAGGGGTCTAGGCTTCGAATATGATTTTGTCCCATTCGGTGTCGAGACCCTTGATCCGTAGGTTCCTAGCAGACTTAAGGAAATAGGAAAAAGGTTAGTCGATGTCACAGGAGACCGAAGAGACCGACTCTTTTAAATAATATAATTTGGTTATTATATTTTAAGGATAGTTATTATTTTTTATTATAAACGCTATACATATATGGCGACGTATTTGCTAACGCGTTTCACACATGCACAACGCCATCTGTTGATGAGTAAATAATAAAAATGAAATTTTCTTCCTAGCTTACATAGTACCTAATAATAATGTAACTTATTCGTCATGTTGCATTTGTGGTCGTTTTGGTGTGACATTAAAAGATTGTGTCTGTAAGGGAAATGGGAAAAGGGGAACTCAAGGACGTGCCAATTGAGTGTTCCCTGTGACATGTAATGAATGGCAGAATTGGTAATGTTAGTCCATAATTTATTAATTGCTTTCTTCTGTAACTTTTAAATAGAAATGTGATATCT